TCTCTCTCTCTCTCTCTCTCTCTCTCTCTCTCTCTTCCTCTCTCTTTCTCTCTCTCTCATCAATAAAAATATATCCTCGGGTGAGGCTTAAAAAATATGTATATATATGACCCATGACAGGCACATCGTAAGTATTCCAGGCATCCCACCAGAGCTATAAGTTTATCTGTTTTGTTGTTAACACTGATATTCTCTCTGTTATTTAGAACACAACTGAAGAACACAAAGAAAATGTTTTTTATTCTTTGATATATAAAACCAAGAAAACTTTAACACAGAATACAATATCGTTTGCTTTTTAAAGAAAATGGCAGAAGTATAGACCTGGGTAGAAAAATACACGCAAGCAGCTATTCCAAGCAGTTCATAACTCCTAAAATTCTGAATAGCGCACAATCTTTTTTTTTTAAAAAATTATTCACATTTGCTTAACAACTTAAAACATGGTAAGAAATATAACTTTATTTCTTGGTAACAGACCCAGTTATTCAACAAGATACTCTTGAACCAGCAATAACTTAGTAAAATAACATTTCCTTTGTGGTAGTATGTTAGCATTAGAGTTTTGGTTCTATTACACGTGTCATGGAAGAAAAAAAATACCTCCGACTGCTGGGGCACCAAACAAGATGCTTGCACAGTTCATTGGAGCCCATAAATTTGGAAGTGTGTACACTCTCACTAGGACCTCAAAGTGGGGAGTGTCTTTGGTCTTCCCTGTGCCTAGGGGAAAATGGGTAGGAGAGAGATGGGCATTCAAATAAAAAAATCAAACATAGGCGCAGGGAACAAATACTCAGTAAAAGCTATTTCTGAACAATAAATACTTTATGCACAAAAGGAAAATAATTTGCTTTTCACTTAACAAGTTCAGGAAAAATGAAAACAGTGAGATAGTTTTCAGATAGTCTGACATCCATGAAGGAAGGACAGTTCTGCCATTGACCAGCAGTGGGCGCTGGGCCACAGGACAAGCAGCTGCAATGAAAGGCCACCTAAAAAAAATATTTTTACCTGTAGTTATATGAAAGCTTTATTTGGTCAAAGTTTAGTCCTCAAAATATAACTTTAACATTTTCTCCTCAATATCGGATTCAAACAGAATATACACTTCATATAAAACTTCATTGGTATAAACATGGAATAAAACATTCAAAATTCCTAAATATGTAAATATCGCTACAAGATCAAAGGGAAGTGGCAATGGATCGAATCTGTGTTAAAAAATCATTACGTTTCATATGAAGATATTTTAAAATGAAGATAACAGACATTGGCCCAAATGTCTGTGAGCTTTCAAAGGCTTGTCTGGAGGTGCGGTAGGGTTGTCCACCATTTCTGTGGAAACATTTCAGAAACTGTGCTCAGAGTCAGTGAAGTCATGGAAAAGACTGTTTTTTTATCTCCAAGTAAATACTGGCTTTTGATCACAAACGGTATTGCTGAGCAGAGCTGGCTGCTTTCCTGAGGGCAACTGACAGCCCTCAGGGCGTCCCAGGTCACGGGGCATGACCTCAGTCAGGAGCGCTCCTCTTCCCAGTGAGGTCTGGGGGTGCAGCTCCCATTTGGCTGTTTGAAACAGGACTATAACTGACAATTTGAAATTTGTCTTCTACAGTCATACCTATTAGAGATGTGGGTGCGTCTGTTCTTAAAAACCAGTCTTTCCCTTCTCGCCATGTACCTTCTTCACAGCGTCCAGCCCACCAGAAGGATCCTCGCGAAACACAGAAGACGCGGTGCCAACAAGTAGGTGTGTTTGCATCGCTGAAGTTAAAAACATGAATTTGCCCTTTGAAAGGGTAATTTTAAAGCTTCGTTTAAAAAAATAAAGTCTTTTTAAAATTTTAAAAAGGACGTATTTCCTACACTTGGTCAGAAAATAACTTTACAAAGGCCCTGGACCTGCAATGGGCCTGGTGTGTGCGCGCAAGTGTGCACCTTCTGTTTGTGGAGAGCTTTATAAAAATAGGCAGTATTTTTATTTTCTGTCCATAAGTTGAAACATCGAGTAGGGTTGTGGAAGCAAAGGGAGGGATAAATAAAAACACAGAGGAGGGGTGACATATACAATTATCTTATTTTAAAAACGGGAGGGGACTGGTCCCTGCCGCCAGACTGTGGTCAGGACGCTCGGGCTGGGACAGGATGCTACAGGGAGATGCCCGGCGCTGCAGGGCGGCC